ATATAAACATAAAATGTCTTAAAAATAATATATATATATATATATATATATATATATACACACACACATACACACATATACACATATATATATATATATATATATATATATATATATATATATATATATATATATATAAAGGAAAGAAAATAGATAGATAGATAGATAGATAGATAGATAGATAGATAGATAGATAGATAGATGAATGAATGAATGAATGCACAGGTAGTGTAATGGTTAATGCATCGGAACAAGAAAACGGTACACCGAGTTCAAATTCCATTATTCTTTACATGTGTTTTCATGCAGTTACCCTTAATATATCACAGCGAATGCTGGGCGCTTTTCTTACAAATGAAGAGGAGACTTGGTGCAAAAGTGACATGCTTTTACAGAAGGATACCGAGAATAACATGGCCGGAACATATCAGCCACGAGGCAATTTTATGGAGAATTCGGAGCGAACAAAACACTTGTACTTCGAAACAGAAAATGATCCTTGAAATTTGTCGGACATATAACGAGGAAAGAGCACTTGAAAAATTCGACACTCACAGGATCTATAGAATGCAAGTACGACAGAGGAAAATGGTGTGTAACTTACCTAACAAGCTTGTGTAAATGAATAACAGAACAGCAAGTGGGTGACTAAAGGGACAGACATTGTTTAGACCTATAAAGAAAGAACCGTGATCGTCTATATAGACTTGGCGTATAAACGAAAGAGCTATCCTCTTGAATGAATGTCCGGAAATATGTGAAAATATTGTATAACTCATATATTAAAATTGTCAAGATGGCTAAACGTCTTATCTGAAAACCTGGAAAAAAGAAACTCAATTAGTTTATGGTTTTTTTTTTTAGATATTAAACATTTTGTGTGATGGCCAGTTATCCAAAGCTGTTACGCGATTTGGACAATTTTCTTGTTACAGTCAGTATATATATATATATATATATATATATATATATATATATATATATATATACAGTGTAACCTGGATATAAGAGACCCGGATATAAGAGAAACCCGGATATAAGAGAGATTTTCTCTGGTTCCAAAGTGTTCCCATACATACCTAAACAAAATAGACCAAACCCGGATATAAGAGAAACTCGGATATAAGAGACTTCTTCTCCGGTCCGACAACTCTCTTATATCCGGGTTACACTATATATATATATATATATATATATATATATATATATATATATATATATATGAAAGCAGATGGTATACACACTGAATCAATCATAAAAATTCAGGATATGGAATTGATAAATACTAAACCCTTCAAATACTCCCATGTAAGTATCAGTTATTACAAATGTCGTATATGTATGTAGATAAGGAAATTGAACAGAGAATAAGCCACACCGGTGAGTGGGGTGTAGTTTCCCCCCAACACCGCAATAGCTTCAAAACTACAACATTAACCTAAAAACTCGAGTGTGGTTCTTAAATATCCATGTCAGATGTGGTAAAAGTATCCTCAGATCAATGATTACAATGGCTTCCGGGAAAATGAACCCTTTAGGTCTTAGGAATGACATTGCAAACCTACACTACAGAATTACTAACAATGATTGATTGCTTGATTTATTTTTTTAAGGATTATCAGTTCTTTTTAATATCTATCTACATTTCTGAGATGAGGTATTGTAATTATTTACACTTTTACATTCTTCGGACTGTTATCCTCATTTCTTTGCCATACTCACGACGTTTCCGCCGCTGTACGCTCCGGCCTCCTTCAGGTGATTGGAATTTCGAACACAACCCTTTATTTCGCCCACCAGAGTAGATTGTTCTCGTTCCATATGTCATGCCTCTTCCGTATGACCCAGTTATCTCCCTTTAACTCAACTCCCCAGTTTTTGTTCACCATTGCAGTAGCCAGGTATCGAACTCAAATCTCGTTGGGTCAAATCATTGGATCCAACCAAGGCTTTTATCCATTCGGCCATGTGTCTTTTTTCATAGTAAATATTTTTCGGCGTCGTCCATCGTCATATTTGTGACGATATGGTTAAAAAATAAATCTATGTTCCATATGCTGTGTAACAAAGAGTTTAAATCACTATCAAACCCTACATTTGTTATATAAAGAGAGCGCATTTTTATATAAACAAAGTGTAAAAAATAAAGGAGAGATGGCGGAGCAGGTTATGGGAGAGATTGCAAAAGGACAAAAGTTATTAAGAGCTACAGGCGACAGGAAATTGGAGAGATGCATGATTTTCAACGTCCTAAATAGACATGACAAGAAGAAGAAGAAGAAGAAGAAGAAGAAGAAGATAGCAGGCCATAACTAGCAGCCTTAGTTATCATGCAATTTTCCTCTGGCTCCAAGTGTTCGTCACTTTCCGAATTATTCTTGCCATTCCTAAACGACTTCCTTTCTGTTACAGTTTCACTGGGCAATCAGCGACAATTCAAAAGTTTGAAGCCAGACCCGGGATTTTTTTAAAAATTGGCACCCAAATTATTTGTTTTATACTTTAAGTAAGAGAAAATTATTACATATGATTTAAAAAAGTGAGACATGATTTTTTTTTATTAGAAATTTCATTATGAGAAAAAGAAAAAAAAGAATTTAATGATTAAATTTTGCTCTGGTCAAAATATCCTCCTTTAGCCTTGGGCTACTGCAGCATAAATATTTGTCATTCGTTGCAAATGTTTCTCAAAGTATAAGTTTGATAATTGATTCAATTCTTTTTTCACTGACTCTAAAAGCACTTTTTCCTTTTTTATATGGAAAGGTTTCAATTTTCTCTCAAGTTCATCCTATGCTAATTCTGGTTGTGACTTCAAGCTTTTGAACTGTAGACATACATACATACATACATAGTGTAATATAAGTATATGGGTTAGGTATTAGGTACATTTGGGCAGCGATTTTTCATTTAATTATATTTTGTTAAAAGCCCAAAAATGTTCGTTAAGTACTTTTTTTTTTTACTTCTGTTTCGGGCTATTTCCTTGGTTTCTGGTCGGTGTAAACAAATTTGATTTCAGTATAAATTGCCGGATAACTAATTACTATCAGTTTTTCAATACACACACACACACACACACACACACACACTTTTATATATATATATATATATATATATATATATATATATATATATATATATATATATACATATGCATGTGTGTATGTATGTATTTATGTATGTATAAAGAAAAAAAGATCATAGGAAAACTGTATGTAGTTTTAGCCGACGCGTTTCGTCCATTGCGGACTTTTTCAAGGCAAAAATGGAATGAATTTATTTGAACAAAGTATCTATAAATAAAAAAAATGTTGTTAGTTACTAAAAGAATTTAGAAACGCTCATATATATTCATTGGGTCAACTGAAAAATTTCCTTTTTTATGTTTGAAGATAATTTTTCATATGTAGAAATATTGTTTGTATTGTGTTAATGGATTCAAACGTCTTTTGATTTCTTGATATATTTGTTGCGTATGTCGGTTTGAGAGAGTAGTGTTAGGAAAGGTGAGATTGGAAAAAAACGGGGCGTAGATTAATATTTGGATAACATTCAATGACGGCACTCTCGAGGATTTTTCTTCTGAGTGAGTTATTTTCTTTTTTTATGAGTGTACCCTGTTTAAAATCAAAATCGAGGTTTAATTTATTTCTATGTATGACCAGTGCATTTGTCAAATTGTTATTTATGGGGTCTTTTTGTGCTCATAGATTGTTTTTTTTAATTTCTGCATATTTGTCCAATGTATTGTGAGGAACGGTTTTGGCAGTTTATTTTATATATGCCTGCTTCTGAATTATTATTGTTATGAGTGTTTTTAGATCTGATTATATCCGTAATAGTTCTGGAAGTGGTTTTGATTATTTGGATGTTGTTTAGATGGGATAGATTGTTCTGGTTCGTGGACGTTACGGAATTGGTAGTATTATGTATCTGTTCTTGTATAATTTATTATTATAGATGATGTTATTTTTGTTGCGGTTGTATAATTTGTATGACTTTCTTCTTGCGTTGTGGATGAAGTGATATGAATATTGTAGGTTTTTGAATGTGTTTCCTATGTATGTTTCTTCTTTGGGTAAATATTGGGAGCCGCAAATTCTTAATGCGCTTAAATAGAAACCTATAATGATATCAGATTTAATTTTAGAGGAGTGGTTTGAATAGAAGATGACCAGGTCATTTTGTTTGTAGCTATTTTCTATAAACGTCAAAATTAAGTTCGTTGTTGTTTTGTGTAACATGGAAAGGGAAGAGTATGATTGGTTTCAGTTTCAAAGGTGAAGTCTATTGTAAGCTCAACGTTGTTAAGTTGGTTGACAAGATCTGGCAAATTAGTATTTTGTGGATATATTAGTAGGGATTCGTCCATATATCTGAAATAGGAAGAGTTTAGAGGCAGAATGCTTTTGAATGGGTCACTTTCTAAAAAATAGACAAGCAAGAACGCTTCTGACAGATCTTATTGGTAAACCAATTTTTTTGTCTATAGAGGTGGTTATCCAATCTAAAGAAACATTGCATAGTAATTAGCTGACAAAATTTTGTGATTGTATGTGTAAGTAGAAGTAATTTAATTTCTGCTTTTGTTAGGTGTGTGTTTCAGTAGACCTAGGGATTTCTGTATAGGGCTGTTTGTGTATAAAGATTTTATGTCTAAACCAGCCATATATTTCCTTTTGGTATCTATATTTTTTTTTTATTTGTTTAGAAGGTCACCTGATATTTTATGTGTGATGGACAGATAGTGCCGAGAAGTGGGGTTAAGATTTTGCCAACTAGTTTATATGGGGTGCTGCTTATCCCTGATATGATTTGTCTCATTGGCATGTTCGGCTTATGTGTTTTTGTCTTTTTTTTTTTCCTTTATACATATTTACAGATTAATTCTGAAAATTTATATATATATATATATATATATATATATATATATATATATATACATAAATAAATAGATAGATTGATTGATTGACTGAAAGAATGCCAGAAATAGAGTTTTATATATATATAGATATAGATAGATAGATAGATAGATAGATAGATAGATAGATAGATTGAAAGAATGCTAGAAATAGAGCTTTTATATATATATATATATATATATATATATATATAGAGAGAGAGAGAGAGAGATAGATAGATAGATAGATAGATAGATAGATAGATAGATAGATTGAAAGAATGCTAGAAAGAGCTTTATTTATATATGTATATATATAGAGAGAGAGATAGATAGATAGATAGATAGATAGATAGATAGATAGATAGATAGATTGAAAGAATACTAAAATAGAGCTTTTATATATATATATATATATATATATATAGAGAGAGAGAGAGAGAGAGAGATAGATAGATAGGAAAGAATGCTAGAAAGAGTTTTTATTTATATATATATATATATATATATATATATATATAGAGAGAGAGAGAGAGATAGATAGATAGATAGATAGATAGATAGATAGATAGATATGAACAGACTGTGATAGATAGATAGATAGATAGATAGATAGATAGATAGATAGATAGATAGATAGATTGAAAGAATGCTAGAAATAGAGCTTTATATATATATATATATATATAGAGAGAGAGAGAGAGAGATAGATAGATAGATAGATAGATAGATTGAAAGAATGCTAGAAAGAGCTTTATTTATATATATATATATATATATATATATATATAGAGAGAGAGAGAGAGAGAGATAGATAGATTGAAAGAATGCGAGAAATAGAGCTTTATTAAAGACATAGACCTAGTTATGATGAGGGCACTAAGGCGTGAAACTGACAGTCGTCATGCCGTGTTGGAATCAAAATCCACACTGTCTCTCTCATTCTCTCTCTCTCTCTCTCTACCTCTCTCTACATATATATGTGTGTGTGTGTGTGTATGTGTGTGTAATGGATTATATATATATATATATATATATATATATATATATATATATATCCTGCAACGTGAGTGCGTATTTAGTCAGTAGTTCTTCATTAATATAAGTTTGATTAAAAGGTAAAGACTCTATTTTGGGTCGTGTTGTAGTGCAAATGAATGCATGTCTGCATCCAAACAGAAAGCCTTCCTAAAAAAAAATGCATGTCTGCATCCAAGCAGAAAGCCTTCCTAAAAAATTTCATCAAAATTTTGAGATCAGGTCGGGGGGGGGTTCTTTTATCACAACACCCATCCCCGATTCTATCACATCTATGGCTATTTTGAAAATCACAGAAAAAAATTATTTTAGATATTATTATTTTCCAATATATATATATATATAATGAAATGGAATAAGTTCGACTGTTCTTTTAATATATTTTCTGTTTATACGTTATTTTTCATAGATACAAATATTTAAGTAAATGCTCTGTTTATAATAAACAGTATTAACTACATTTACCGGCCTGATTGGTCCGAGAAATTTCGTGGAAAATATGTGGCCTCCGACAGGAATCGAACCGGTATCCTACACGGAACCGTCATTTGGCCTGACGTGCTATACCATTTAGCTACAGAGGAATTTGGCTTGCTTAAAAACAGTAATTTGACTTTGCTAACCAGTCATTTCCTCTGTAGCTTTAAACCTCATTTACTTAAATAATTATATCTATTGAAAAATAACATATAAAAATATATATATATATATATATATATATATATATATATATATATATATATATTAATCCAAATACATATATATATATATATATATATATATATATTAATCCAACATATTTTGTTACTGCCGGAGGGTATATTTTCTTTAATAAGTTTAGTAGAGTATGCAGTCCCTTAGACGAAATAAATACTGTTTAAAATAAAATGGAGTGTCTACTCAAATAATACGGGTATCAACTAAGAATAACTTTTGAAGTAATATATATATATATATATATATATATATATATATATATATATATATATATATATATATATATATATATATATATATATATATATATATAAACAACAACAAAACAATCCAAAATTGACATATATATGAGATATTATTATTTTCCAACATAAAGCCTAGGGAATATAAGATGCTGTAAGCTTGGATGTGCGGGTGGTGTAATGGATAAAGACTCGGAATTGTTAATCAGAGAACCGAGTTCTAATTCTAGTTGGGTTTGTTATATTCACTTACACGCAAATATTATTGAGAAAAGTATGAATTCACCTCTTATTCCCTAGTTATGGGTTAATTAGTAAGACTTGTATCACTAAATCACTATTATCTCCAAAAAAAACTCACAGTCTAAAAATATTTCCTGACTTTAAATAACCTGACAAAGGTCGATAAGCCGTAGAAAATGAATCAAGCCTAAAGAATGTGATCATGATTAAATGACAAATAAATTCATTAAAACGGATAAATAAAACGGATATAAATATCTCATTTCCTAACATAGTTATTAAATTAAATAAAAGGAAAATACAACGTTCCATAACTGTGACGTTCCCCGTGGCTGAACGGTAAAGCACACTGTAACA